GAGGGGTGAGAGAGGAGGGAGGAGTGAGAGAAGAGGGAGGAGGGGTAAGAGAAGAAGGAGGAGGGGTGAGAGAGGAGGGAGGAGTGAGAGAGGAAGGAGGGGGGGGCGAGAGAGGAGAGAGGAGGGTGATGGAGGAACGAGAAAGGAGGGAAGGCGAGATGCGGAGCGCGTTTCCGCGATGACGGTGACAACGGCTGCGGTGCTGATGCAGCATATGATGATGATGATGATGATGGTGATGATGATGATGATGATGACGATGATGATGATGATGGTGATGATGATGATGATGATGATGATGATGTCGTGGGTGATAGTTATGATTACGAAAGCTAAGGTAACGATCGCGATAATGACAACAACGATGACAAAGGTGATCGATCAAACGGTTATCACAGATAAAACGGAATTACTGGTAGCTCAACCAACAGACCAATATAGAATGCTAGTGAATTAGAAACATATCACACAGGGCCTAAGATAAAATATTGCTTGCTTCCCCTTTACCGACCGACTTGCCAAAACGCTGCTACTCGACACATTTTATTGGGCGATTAAAACAAAACAAAAATTATTTCGTTTCCCCCCCCAAAAAAATATCAAATTCGTTCCGCAAAAACATATACACAAAACAGAATATACAATATACATACACACATCTTGTCAAATCAAAAATAGAATTTTTTTTCACCTACCTACCTATTCGGTACCCTGAGAGGCAAGTAGGGTAGGTAAAGGGGAAACAAACCATTTTTTAAGGGTGGCCCAGTGTTTTGCAAAGGTAATTCCCATTGCTTCAAAGCCTAATTAACATCTATACACATAGTATTCATTACTTACACCCTTAACGTCGTCAAAACACACGTCTATGTCCTCGGGATGAACTTCATTACCATTTCCTATGAGAACTTTCCGGAACGGTCCGCCTGCATAATTCGCAGAAGCAATATTTACTCTTTGCTCGCACTGTCGCATCTGGATTTAGAAATCTAATTCTAAAGGTCCTAATCAACTTATGTTATGTGTAAAACATGTATATATATACAATATATATATATATGTATATATATATATATATTTATGTATGTATATATATATATATATATGGATATATATATATACATACATATATATATGATGTGTATATAATGTTGAAACGTTCTAGCTATTTATATTCTAGCTCAGGCAAGCAGACATTTATAAGGACTTCTTGCCCAAAACAGTGGTGCAGTTGTCTTGGATATATAGCCTCCTTCTATATAATTATATATATATATATATATACACACACACACACGTGTACAATTGGAAATCATTTATTTTGTGTTACAACACGTTCTGTCTGTAAACGCAACACTTCCGTAACGCAGGGCAGCATCACTGCACCGGGATGCACGCCCCCGTCGTCGTTTCGCGCGTCAGCCGCCAGGGGGCGCCGCGCGTGCTCACCGACGAACGTTCCCAGCAGAGCGACGATGAGGATGATCCCCATGATGTCGCGGATCATGTTGAACGTGCGAACCTTCGAGCTGCCGGCCCGCGACTTGTCGTTGCCGACCATATACCCTTCGGCAAACGCCACCTGGCGTGATGGATAAAGACACATGGATAAAGACAGTTAAAGTGTTTCTTCTTGCGACACGACAGCGTTTTATATATGAAGAGCTGATTTGCAAAACTGCCTATGTCCATTTTATGTGTATATATATGTGTGTGTGTTATGTGTGTGTTTTGTGTGTGTGTATATATGTGTGTTTTATGTGTTTTATGTGTTTTTATGTTTATGTGTTTTATGTGTGAATATATGTGTATATGTATGTGTATATGTGTATGTGTATGTGTATATATGTGTATATTATATGTGTTTTATGTGTGTGTGTTTTGTGTGTGTTTTTTATGTGTTTTTTTACGTGTTTTTTTTATGAGTTTGAACCACCAATGTATAGTATGTGAACATAGGTACCGTGTAGAACATTTTTTTCTTGAAAAAGAGCCTACATCATGCATAAAAGACCCATCATAAATCATGTTTAGCTTACATCCAAAAACCTTCATTTGCAAAATAGCCTATATATCTATCAGCACATTTTAACCCATGCTGAAAACAATGTAAATGATTGTCAAATAATTGTTTTTGTCGTTTTCTCTCATTTCTTCAAAATGGACATACGCAGTTTGCAAATAAGCTCTTCATATAGATGGATGGATGGATGGATACATTGTTAGGTAGTTAGGTGATTGGGTAGTTGGGTATGTAATTGGGTTGGGTGGGTGAAAGGATGTGTAGATGGATATAATATAAGCAAACACAGGCACACAGCCAGACAGACAGACGAACGGATATGACGGACGGACGACGGACGACACAGCACAGACGCGACAGACAGAATGAAAGGCGGTGACAGACGGACAGAAGACATCTACTGACGCTTTGATTCTTTTCCTTTCTGCTGGCGGAGACAGGCTCTCTGCAGCTTCCAGAATCTGCTTCAGTTTCGCATTCTTGTCCACGCTCTTGAGCAGTGTACCGGTCGCCTAGGCAACGAACGAGAGCAGCGCCGATTAGAAAGACAGCATCACAGATGCGGGGTGGGAGAAGGGGGAAGGGGGAGGGTAGGGAGAGGGGGGTGGGCATCAGAACTGGGACGGCTGTGTTGATCTTGCGTTCACGTAGGTACACGAAATTTGACGTTGCGAATGTGCCTGTGTTACTTGACCGAAACACTTATATATATTACTCAACATATCGACAGCAAAATTGTATGCAGGCACGAAGATTTTTTTGCACTGGCCCAGAGAGGGAGGCGGTGGTGAGTAGTTTTTTACCACCCTCACAAATTTTCAATAACATAAGAGATAAGGACTGTTTACACTTGACGTCTTGTTGTTGGAAAAAATGTAGGTTGAAAAGCTACCTTACGACATTCACGATATCAAAGGATTTTAACAATAAGTCGAAGACTTTATAGGCCATTTTCATTTTTTGCTCATAAAAAGTGGGCGATGGCTGCAAAGTAGGTCGACTTGGCTGTGCTCCAAATTAGGAAGTAAAATGCCTCCCATAGTGAGTAACAAACTGTATTCAATTTGAAACATGTGCGGCTTTCAAACGTTCTTGAGACGCACCTAGTTACGTTGACCCTACCTATGCGGCCAGCGCACTGAATCGGCAAGTTAACATTGCCAAAATACTAGCTAATCTGCATTAATAATAAAAAAAAAAACTGTGTGATATGTTTTGTGGGGCAGTGTCCTGCATCTCAATTCACTACCAGAACATGACCGCAACCAGACCTCTGTTGAAACCTGAACGTGATTTATCGGCCATTTGCATTTTTGTCCAAAAGTGGACGTGGCTCGAATCGTAGCCGACTAACAGGTCGACTGGCCGTGCTCAAAAATAGCACTTCAACGCTCTCCCCAGATAGGAGTAAACAACTATAGTGCAATTGTGAAACATTGCTTGGAGTCAAGATCAGTTCTCTTGATTTAATCGTTGACGGCGTAGCCATTTGACGCCGGAGATGGACGGACGTACGACGGACAGACGGACGGACGGACGTACAACGAGACGACCCCCCCATGCAATAGCTCATCTTGACGATGTCAAGGCGAGCTAAAAATGTAGGTACTCGCTAACAGACGGCTGAATGAGTCACTGGCCGTTGAGGGCCGGTGGATTTTGCCAGTAACCAATAATTAACTAAACATAGCTAAACAACCAGTATTCAGATACTGCTAAAATAATTTGCCCCGGCATATCCCGCGTGGGGCCAGACGAATTTTCCGCCTTGGGTACGTACGCACCTTCGCGTCTATGTCGCGGCGCTCGTTAGACCCGTCAGCTGGCCGAGCAGTCTGATCTTTTCGTCGTCGTCGTCGTCGTCTCGTCGTCAGCTCCTCCCCGAGAGTCGTGTACGCGCCCCGAGCCGATTTGTCTTGATGATACGCCGCGGCTGCGTCCGGTCACGTGTGCCCGTCCCCCCTGTCTGCAAGGGTGAAGGTAGGCTGGGAAAAATTCATGCGGTAAATAGGCAGGCAAGAGTAGGATGCAAAACTAGCGCACAGGAAAAGTAGACACTTTGAGCAGCTTAGGATGGTAGAATTAGTAGACAAAGTTGAGCAGGAAAGTAAAGTAGGGGCAAGAGTCGACAGGCAAAACCTCAGAGGAAAAGTGGACGGCTAAAGTAATGAGGCAAAAGTTAGCAGGCAAATACTCGAGGCTAAACGAATTTGCACGTGCTCGTACGAAAAACGGCCGGACCTAGCGCAGTTCCATTACTACCAGTGCACGTTCCAGAGATCCCCATGGCAAACACCGAATATGGCGTT